TCCTTGTAGTTTGGCTCCTACCCCAAGGGCTAGCAATATGATGGTTGGATCCTTACCAGTGCTTATGGTTGTATGGCAGTGAAGCATCAGTGCCAGCACTGATGTTGCTGTCTTTGATGATGATGATGCTGTCTCCAGTAGACCGGAGGCCAACGTGGTTGTTGGAATCTGTTGTTCTCCATTCGGGTGAATACCTCTCTAATCGATACCCCGGATGTTACAGATCAGTAGACACATAATTCTTGACCATTTTGTAAACAACGGTACTCTCGAATTCCTTTCGTAAATTATCAGTGAAGCCCCTGTCAAACATGTAATGATAGGTGCCTTTGGAGGCACCTGGGTCTAAGGATGCATAACGATATACACGCGCTTTTCGTAGGAAACGCGTCAGGCAGGTAACAGTCGCCGTTGAAAATACCAAGCATCTTTTCTTGCGTCCTAATTGGAGTCATTCAAGAAGTCTGAGACAGAGATCCCATATTTTCCAAAGGTTCCCCTTGGCATTACGAGAACAAGTCATTAGAAGAACAGTGAACGGTTTCGGGACGTTTCAGCAAAGGAACTGAGGTGTGCTTGAAGACAGAAATAGACCTAAATCATCTTTGGTATCCGATTTAGTAATTGTTTCTGACCTATTCAAATCGTGGATGACAAACGCGTACAGCATCTGTAAACTGCTACTTTTCGGGCTCAGCAGGACTTTGTGCCTTTTACTGACTGTTGTTAGCCTTGGGTATCAAGCACCAAATACTCAAATTTAGTTGTCAGGTCCTCTTCTGGGTGGGGAAAGGATCAATACTAATGATAATAATAATGAGTAAACAGTGAATCACACTCCTCATCTAAACCTGTCACCTTGTCGTGGTGGTTCGGATTTTGTGCTGCAATGACCCTGTGGGCTATACTGGCTAGAATTCAGTTCCTAAAGGTTCGACCATGCCAGAAAGACAGTAGGGCGAAGCCCAAGTCCCCGTACTCGTATTACGAGACGGGGTGTAAAGGAGTGTGTAGGCAGTAAGGCGGTTCCCCTAGCGTGTCCATGTTTATGGAAGCAGCAATGCTACCTTCCCCCGAGGAAGGACGGATTGGAAAGGACCGACCCTTACAATTACATGCTCCGATCCCCAAAGGTTGACCGTCACCGCCGGCGCATTATTCAATACGTTTGAAATGCCTTTAAAACCGAAGAGTCTGGTGCTGCTTAGGAGGCACCTCCTGTGCGCAGCTGCACTAGGAACCTTCGAGCCAGGCCGGCTGCTGCAGCCAAACGGGTCGGACTATTGAGTCACTGGCTCCGGGAAGGGTTTCCCGAGAACACCCTAACAACCACTGTCTCGCGGTTCAGAATCCTCAGTCGGCGGCTAGGGAGAGAGACTTTAATCTAAACTCCACACTCTCTCACTGTCTTGT